CCTAACTCGCGCGAAAATATAAAGCTGATAAAGCTATGTGCAAGTAAATACTATAGAAGTCTTATAAACAGTTTGCTGTCGTATTTGAATTTGAAAAACAATAAACACATCAGAAGAAGATCACATTACTTCTTTTCGAAGAAGATCGACAGAATGATTCAGTTTTTTTAATTACCGTCAGGTGTAATCACAATAAAATTTATACCGGTTGCGTGACGGAACGTTTTTTTTCTGTTTACTCGCTATAACGTTTTCTCACGTCGTTTTCTTTAATTTAATGTTCTTTAGAAGCCAAAATTCTTCTTGTCACATTTGTAATAATTCAGATATTATTTCCAGTTAGTGGGAAGAGATACTGGTGGCGTCAGCGGTATCATAGATAAACCTGGATAAACCTAATAACTTGTCAACCAAACTGCCTCTCTCTCTACGGCAGTTATATCATACATACACACCTACATTTTATCTTATTATCTTGCTTATATTATAGCAATAAAAATAAATAAGAAACTAGAGATATTTTTTTATTCCAATTTTCACCATAAATGTAAACAAGTACCAAACCGGTTACACTACTTGCGACCAGGTAAAACCGAATTTTTCTTGACAATCTTTAATCTTTATTTTTCACTCGTCTCGTGGAATAAGATTTCAGAGATACCAGTTGTGTCATAAACTTCCTTTAACTTCGAGATCGGTAGATGCCAAAGAGTGAAACGTGAAGCATAAATTCTCACTGCAACGAGTCTCTGTTCAATAACCTTCGCCACTATCTCGAACGGGCATTGTATTTCACTTGATTTCCGACTCGGAAAGGCCCTTCACCGCGCGAGTTTTGCGTTCCTGCCAAAATAAGGCCCAAGACGAACAGAGAAAGAAAAGAGAAAGAGAAGTAGAGAGAGAGAGAGAGAGAGAGAGAGAGAGAGAGAGAGAGAGAAAGAGAAAAGGAAAAAAAGAAAAAGAGAGAGAAAGGATTACCCTTGGTCCTCGTCGGCAGCGGCTCCCTGCTGCACGATGCGTACCACGTCCGTGGATGACATCGTCGATACTCCCGTTACCACACACACATACACATCGAGAATTTATCGTTCGCACATCCTTATCACTTTTTCAAAACTTTCCTGAAGAAATTTCCTTGGATCTTGTCGCACGATCCACCTTTCGCGACAGACCTTTCTTTTCTAACGAATTCTCGCGCGTGAACTCACACGAGTCTCTTCACTTCACCTCGCAGGTAATATACACACACGTGCGCTCTCGCCAGTCAAGCTCGAACACTGGTGTCCAGGCTGGCTGGCGCCCGTCAAGGCTACCGACACCGAAAGAGCGAGGGAACGATCTGAAAGCCCGTTTCTTTGGCTCCGGGCCCGGTTTATCAGTTGTTCTCGGTGTGCGTCTACCTGGATCTACTAGCGCGAGTGCAGCAGAAGGAGGAAGAAGAGGCGGAGGCGAAACCACGAGGAGCACTGCACACACGGCGGTGAACACCACCTCACTGAAGAGGAGAATGCTGAGGAGCGTGGCACCGGACGAGTGTCGCGCCGTGCCGTTCGTCGGCTTACCTGTTCATACACACACGCATATACATATGCACGCACGCACACAGTGCTTTTTTCAACCTGTCTCCGTGTGCGGATGCCGTGTTCTTTTCCTTCTGCGTACGCAAACGAACGTATGATTCTTCATTTGTGTGCGTGTATGAGTACTTTATATAAACTGACTGGTGTGACGTTTCTTTAACTTCCGTCTGTTTGTGTGGGAAGGTGTGCGGAATGCATGTGCGCACGTGTACGTATAAATCGTATGTACTTTTCCTTCTATCTGCGCACGGCGCGTGCATACAAAAATGTAATTCTTGATTGTGTGTGCGTGTGTGCGCAAACTGGTGTAGCTTGTCTTTTGTCACTGTGTACGTATGCATGCTCGCGCTATCTTTTCCTTCTACCTGATACACAGACGCGTACTTCTTTATTTGTAAGTGTATAACGGAGGAAAGAGAGACGTAGCGTGTTCTTTTCTTTCTATCTGTAAATGATAATGTGATTCCTGATGTGTGTGTGTTCGTATATCATGATGCACCGTGTTCTCTTCCTTCTGCCTGCACGTCCACACGCGGACGTAGCCTCGTACGTGTGAAATATGCGCGTATGTGTAGTGCTGTGTTACCTGTTTTTATAGTTGTGTATTCGGTATTTGGAAGAGCTTACTTCGCACATATATACATATATGTATATTGCGAGAATATATTACGTAGTAAATCAGTATGAGAAATCAGTGATGTATAACGGGATTGGATGTTCCGAGTAAACGGAGGAATTTGAAATAAATAATAAAAGAGAACGCGAACGCGATATTCAATAAATACCAAAAGTGAAGGACCAACATTGTAAAGCACCGATTCTATTAAAAAGTTTTAATATATAAAAAATCTATTCCCCATTAATTTTACTAGAAATTTACATATCGATATAAATTTATTTTATATCAATTTGTTGTCATTTTTGTTAACTGTTGTAAAACATATTTTAAAGTTTTACTTTTATAAAGAACATGTGACTTAGAATTTTCTTCTACAACGACACTATGATCGTGTCCGTCAAGAGCGATGCAGCGAATATGATGTCATCAAATAGTCTCTTTTTTTATTGCGAATTGCTAGAGGCGGAAATATAATAATTTACATAACTCTCTGTCGGAGAGCAGAAAAAAAGAAAAGCGAGGACACACAGTCGTAGGAAATAAATTGTAAATTTCCGTTGAACTTGCGGTCAATATTATTTTTTGTGTTTAATTGTCTCAACATCTCTCGCATGATTCAGATATAATTCTTGAACATACTTTTAGCGTTTTAATTTATCATATAGTATCAATTATTATATTTATCACATTATTGATTAACATTGTGAAATTAATTATCAGTATTATATTTTACTCTTTTTTAAACCGTGTGTTTAAAATAAATTTTCCTTCGCTCATATATACATACCATGTACACGTGCGCGACATTTATTGCGCATACTGTATGTACTTGCGCGTACTGGCGTAACAGTACGTCGCGCCGGTTGTTTGATACTTTCAGTTTCTTCTTATTCCTCTCGTTTCGCGATCGCTCGGGGGAAACTATCGTGGCTGGTTCTCCACGCGATTTCTCTCTCGCGGTTCTCACACGGAAATCATGCGTCTCGCACTTATCTCAAAGAGCCGCGAAGAAAATTCAAAAGGACGCGGAAGGCGCTGCTACCTGTTGCGTTTCGCACAGTGTGATAGCACTTGCCGCGAGCACACGCAAACTTATCGCGCAAAATGTCATATAGCGTATCACGTATGAGAATTGGTGGAAACCAAAACCCGTCGTATGTACCATAAATTTACCTAAACACGCAACCACACGAACCGTGAACGTGTAACTTCCAAAATAGTTTTTTTCTCTATTTTGATACAATGTTGTACTACAACACAAACTACATACCTATTATTTATAAACTTGAAAGAGAGTTAACAAATGACTTACAAATTTTCAGTGGATGTGTAAAATTATTATAAACGCGTGAAATATGAGTGTGTCCACAGAGTGGTTTTTTAAATTCTATTCATATATTCCCCTCCCACACCGACAGTGAATGCTAAAGCAGTCACGTGAAATACATTCAGCCGTAGCTGAGTGCATGGACCTCGGTTCTAGATTCATGTTTTTCTCTTGCGACGACATCATCCTGATGATGATTAATAATCTCGAGCTTGTTACGTTGTCGTATTTGCAAGACCTATGGTAAATTAGCTCCAACGTTTATAAAATCTCATGAATTTGAATAATTCGTACCACTTCGGAATATTTGAAACACGTATTCTTGTTTGCTCGCATCTTATGTCTACGTAAGTGTTCTTAAAATTATTTAATTATTTATAAACGACTCATGTATTCTTAATATCTTTTAGAAAAATATCGCGAAAAGAAAAAGAAAAATTTTCAAATTTTGATCGTTCTTTTTTTCTCTCTTCTTTTATATCTACTTCATTTTCGAAAAGCAGATACTCACGTGATACTCAGCAGCTCGTCCTCTCTGTCTTCTTCCATCTTCAAGAGAAGTCCAAGTAATCCGTCTACGTAGAATTTTGTTTCTCGTACATCGGAAACACGACGCATCGCAGACAATTGAAGAAAGGGCGATACAAAATCACTTTTTCATCAAAAACGTAATTGTTAACAGTATACGCGACTTTTGTATATACGTGTTGTCATGCGTCACGTACAGTGTCATACTGATTCGGAATACCGGCGTGCTTTCTGGGGTGCGAGTGTCAGCGACACATTCCATTAACATCTTATATCCTATCGACGTCATGACGCGGGTAATGCGAATATTTTAACAAAGAAATATGCGCCTGTTCCGCATAACATGAGAGAAAGTTCTATCTCACAAAAACAATTATCTTTTTTGTTCAGTAAAGTTTTGTTCAAGTAAAAAACTAGAGAGTATACAAAAAATATATTTCTGATTTTTCTCAGTAAAATCAAATTTAACTACTTTGTGACTATTTAAAAACAACTTTTATATTATCCGCTTTTTAATGTTCCGTGTCGCCATTACCATAAGTGGAAGATTCTTTAATTAGCTCGTTTTGGGTATAACGTAATACACATAGGCGAAATCATGCGTCAATAAAACAGTCTTTTAGAAACAATGTATACACGTATATATATATTCACTTGATTTCAAAGTTCGAACAAACCACTTTTGTTTCCTTGCGATCGTTATACACACCATTATCCGTATAGGTACAATATCCGAAGAGACGTTAAAAAAACTATCGCGATATCGTACTTTTGAATCAGATCATTTTTTTATGTATGAAAATTTCATTTATATTAATATTACACATTTTTTAAATATTTTAATTACTAAAGATGGTACACACTCATTGAAAATACAAATTGTTAATAAATCACAGATTTTTCTATAATTTTGATGATACTTCATTTTAAATAACATTAGACAAGGTCTATATTAACATCACATCATTTTCATTATTTATTATTTTTAATTTAAACATTTATATTTTAAATACGCTATCGCGAAGTTCTTCAGTTTTGTTTTCAATTTTATCGCGCGTATATGTATATTATATATAATAAAACACGCAGTCATCGTTACTTTCTCTACGCGATAAAGGACGATCGTAATTATGGTAGTTCAATAGTAATGTACGAGACACATGTAGATTATAAAATTGACGATTGTTATAATGTACGCAGAGGTATTGCCAATGTATGTACATGTAATATGCTTATCGAAAGAAACTTTCGTCTTGTTTTTCTTTTTTATTTGTTTATACGCATCATGACATCATAATTCGTCGATGTCACATAATCGCATTTATTCATAAAGAAATCTGTTGCAAAACGCTACGAACTTATCAAACAATTCAATACAGATTTTAAATTTTGCAACAAAAAATAGAAGTCAGAAAAGACGTTTACAATCGTGTCGTACACTGTGAAAACTATTTGAACAACCATTTTTTAAGTAGAAACCTGCTTAATTTATCACACAACTGTTGAAATTATTTTAAATAAACGGAACTTATATTTGTTCTTTTCGTCAAAAATTCTTGTGATTCACAAATTATATCCGAAATAAGCTGCACGCTCTCACACATGCATACGAAATTGCACTTAACTTGTATATATTGGTAAATTGTAAAGATACGTATTTCTCATTCATTCGCCATATTTGTAGTAAAATTCAAAAGTTCTTGGTCTGTATATAAATATCTCTAAGAATAAAATCTCTGGTATTATTTTTCGCTTATCAAAAATGCATTAAAATAAAAAAAAACGCACGCACTCATACTTTCTCTTTTTTTACTGAAAAATAGGAAGTTTTTATTCTTAATAAGACCAAGAAATTTTAAATCGTATGCTACATAATTTGCATTGGTTGTTTTACACTTCTCTCAACACGTATCTCAACATCAATTTTGTTCAAGTAACACTAGCATTTACATCTTTACATTCTCATTCTGATTCAAATCAGAATTATCTAAGGGATGAAGTAAACTCACGATCAGTTGCTCCCAAACTTTGACGAATTGTAACAATCGTATGTGTGCGCATATTACAAAATAATAATAATAATAATAATAATATAAATAAGTTTTCATAAAGTAAAAGACTGAGAGCTCATCATAAACAGAGTGTCAATGTTATTTTTTATTTTTTAAGAGATTAAAAAATACTTGACCTCATTTTAATATAAGAATAATCTTTCAGAAATTCAAATATTGATGTGGAATCCGGCAACAAAATTGAGAATCTGTTTACGACTACTTACCTTGGGACTTTTGTTATTCGATCAACATCAAATAATGTGATTGCTTAGTCTATTTTAACGCGGCAAATCTCGCTAAGATAAAATATTGTGTCGAAGTCAGAATATGTACGACGGAAGTGAAGAGAATAGGAAGAATCGCGATTATCGCGACTCTGCCTTCGTTTTTGGTGGCCTGAAGGCTTTGAGCTTCTTCGCTTTCTTTTGTTTTGTTGCGCTCGCGCCGGATTGGAATGCTTTCCAGCTGTCAACGCGCGATTGTCTGGATTCTTCAAAATTTCGTTGCCACTCCCGTTCCAATGCCGCCTGAGCTTCTGCAGATAATTCCTCCTCGCGTTTTCTCTTACGCTGTTCAGCATCTCTCGTGGCCAGTTCTCGTCTGTAAGTAAAAAAACAACGACCATTCCAGAAATAAATATGCAATAAATTGTGTCAAAAACCTTCTATATAAATATATATAAGTTTATGTATAAATTTTTATACAATTTATATATATACCTTCTTCGTTCCATATCGGCAAATAGTTTCATTGTCATGACCCAAACTGCATGTCTGTAACCCTCCTCGGTTTCTTCTTCCAAAAGAGATGAACTAGAATTCTCTGACTTTCCATCCTTCTTTAATTTTTTTTTCTTTTCTGCAATCTTTAGTATTTTATATTATGTATTATCTGTTCATAAAAATGTATTACAACATTTATAGAAAAAACGTAATGCACATTAGCCACTTACCATGTGGTCAGTTCGAGCTTTGGCTTCTTCAATCACATCCATGCATTTTGATCTGGTTTCTTCATTTTCCAGTGTTTTCCATGCCTTGTTAACAACTGGAAGTAAGATGAGATTAGTTTTCAAATATTCTTATATACAGTATGTTGCAATTATTATGTATATTCTCAATAGTATTTACTTTCAAAGGCTTGTTGTGCTCTTTCGGCATCATCTTGATTCTTGTCTGGATGTACCAAAATTGACATCTGTAACAAAAATCACATATGGTAACTCCTATGAGTAAAAAAATATTTAGTTTTAATAAAATAAAAAGAAATAAATAAACTTACACGACGATATTTCTTTTTGATTTCATCTATTGGTGTGCTTGGATCAATTTGTAGAACTTCAAATGGATTCAAATTGAAGTAAGATGAGCCAGGTCTCAATAATCTGTCGATTTGTTGTTTAGGAGTCAACACAGAATCTCTCTTTTCGATTTCTTTCACCTAAAAATAATGCGATAAAACACGTCAATGAACATAACAAAGAGCTAAATAGCCATTTTAGTTTTTTCTGTTTAGTGGTGCCGTCTGCCATCACTGCGTCAATCTGACTAGCACACAAATATTGAATAGTATTACTCCGTTTAAATACAAACATTTGTAGAGGTTAGGAATTACTTTACTAACACCATTTGTAACATCTCTCGCTAATTTTCATATTTTACATTACATTTGCTTAGTTTGGAGCAACAAAGACATAAATTTTATATTGCAAAATATCTGTTGACATGTTATTTTAAACAAGAAACAATATTTATTGAAAAAGTGCATATGCGACATTTTTGCGTGATTACTTAAAAATAGAGATATAAATTTTGTTTTGTCAGTGACATCGGGCACAAATGCACGTCACAATCGGTAAAAACTCACGTACCTCTGAATAAAATTCGTTGAATTCATCTTCTTTCTTGGCGGGATTTTGACTCGATAAACTGGTGTCGACGGCGGCCATCTTACTTCTTGTTATGAGCTCGGGGCTCAACAGTGCTGCCTTCTGACGAAAACTGCATCATTTTCGGCGCGCAGTTGATAAACATATTTTTATCGAAGTACATACGCAATCAATTTCGGAGAGAATTGAAACAGTGAAAAAGTAAGTCGCATTTTTGTTATTTATTATCGGAATTCTAAAAATATTTTACTTTTTTAAATCCTACCAGAAAAAGCGTGTGCAAATAATCAGAATCGATTCTATCGATCTTGATTGTTGCCTCTATTCCGCGACGTTGATCGAACGTCTCGGTGACGTTCTCAGATAATGTGTTTCTCGATTAGAAAAACAACACGTGAAAATAACGTGACTGTAATTTATATTATATATAACATTAAATAATACATATTATACATATAATTTATTAGATATTTGTAATATTATACTTTATATTGTATTATATGTATTATATACATACTACAGTAATGTCACTGACCTCGGCCGCGCGGCCTTGGCGGGGGCGGGGTCCTGACTGCGTGCGCGCGGCCTTGGTGGGGGCGGGGTCACTGGCCTCGGCCGCGCGGCCTTGGTGGGAGAGGGTCACTGACCGCAGTCGCGTGACTGCGGTGGAGTCACTAACCTCGGCCGTGCGACCGCGGCGGTGTTACTGACTTCGGTCACGTGATTGCGGTATATATATGTATATATATATATATATATATATACACATATATGCGTATGTGTGTGTATTATATATAGATATAGAATATTACATATAATATATATAATACTCTTTTTTACCCTTTTTCCTGTGACTTTAGTCACGTGTTGTTTTTCCACTTCTCTCTCACTATTTTTTGAGTGTGATTTTCATGCGTTATTTCTGACATTTATTATGTGTATTATATGGTTTATAAGACGTATATACTATCTGTCATCGCGGTGACAGGTTGTGTTCACTGACAACACGTTAAATAAAAATAACAATAGCATGCGCGTAGCGCGCGCCTGTGTTGTGCTAGTCTAAATAAAAAACGAATAGTGGAAGCTTTTCTACGTTGTTTTATTTCTTCAGGTTAAAATTAGATAAAAATTAAAATCTGACAGATGAGATAAAAAAAATGTATTCTTTCTCTCTGTTTCTTGTTTTTGAGTAGAAATTTTAGGGAGAGGAAAAGGGGAACGATAGAAGAAAACCATATTTGAAAACGCGCTGTTCAATGTAAAATTTCGTAATATTTTGTTTTTATTAACAAAGCTTAACAGCCAATAATCCAGTAATGCCTCTTTCGCGATAACAAAGGTGTAACATATACATCGAACGAAATCGAGAATATACTGTGTATTATGCGGCATACACTTCCATCAAACTGATCGGTCGACTAGGATCTATTACAATTGAGTCTTTAACACCTATAATCTATAACATACAATACGTACGCTACTCACTATTGCATAATTTCTCCTCCGAAAAATTCACAGATGCGATAAATACAGAAATCGATGAAATTGCTATGCGATATAAACGTTGTATAACATTTAGCACTTGTTTATACATCTCGCTATCTAATCTAGCATGGCTTCTAAGTTCTAATCTGTTGCTACTGTGAACATTCGTTTATACATAAAGACATTACTATCATTGAGTTTCGAGAGGCCTGCGTTGCTGCTATGTATAGAAAGAAAATACGTTTCAAGGATTTACTGTCTCTAAAGAAAAATACCCTCAAGTTATGAAAAATATTTTGCTACAAGATTGAGAGAAGTTTCATGCGAATGAGTTATACCATGAGATTCAGACAAAAAAAAAAAAGAATAGAAAGAAGACAAAAATAATGATTTTTTGTTGCTTGTTTATAGAAGACATATTTGTTAAAAAAAAAATCTTTTTTCTATTATTTCTTTCATGTTTATAAACAAAAGTGAAATGGATACGGTGCAAAATAAACAGGATCCTCACGATTCACACATAAACATGAGTTTTCTTACTATTTGCTACGCCAACTAACGATCGATACAGTAATTTAAGAAAAGCAAGCACGTACAACAAGGATTCCCTTTTAATTTATCAAAGATCTAATCGATTCGGAAACGCGCGCAGGTAATAAATCAACTGGAATCATGGCTCGATTCAATGTTGTTCAGACCACTTGTACAATTTTAACAGTAATATCTGCGAACTTAAGAATTAATTTTCTAAAGTAACAATTTTGATACAAAATGCTGTATCACGTAGTCGCAAGAATTCGCAGGTAGTTTCAATTGTAAATTGTAAAAGATTAAAATCAAGTGTTGTTAATCTCTTGACCAACTCTCACGTTGTTTCACTGATATGCCTCGTTGAATCAAACGCCCGATGATATATCCGACGAGGTCTATTACAGCGCGCATTTTACAAAATACGCAAAAGCTAGCTGAACTAACGACACTTCTATACCACTTGCTGCTATACATTGAGTCTCTATAATTAAACGGAGTCACTCTACTATTCTGACCGAAATAAACGACGAATATATTGCACGAGATGATTGGAAAAACATACTTCTTATACAGGATGTTCCACAAGTAACAAATTTTCTTGGTTGTGTTTATTCGAGATTCGAAAACTGCATTGAGCAGAGAGTATCGATGAAAAAAGTGTTATTCAATTCAGAAGAGAGAGTAAAATTTTTTTATTTTCCAAGCCAAGACAAAACCATAAAAAAGTAAGTAATTAAAACGTACATCTTGATGACTAATTGCTACAATTACTTTTGTTCTCGCAAAGTTCTCAGTGTGGAACAACCTATATAAGTAATTGGTCACAAAGCGATTTCGGGAATGTCGGCCTTCTCGGGATTATTTTTTCCGTATGAACTCGCCCACGAAGAATTTGTCAAAATATATTTCTTCGTAAAAATTTTACATCTATATATCGAGTTATCGCTTTACACGTACATACGTATGTTACGATCCAAGCCACCATTGATAGAAAGCGAGTATAGAATACACGTGTATGTTCGACATGTAGAGAGGAAAGCGGATTAAAATGTTAGATCTCTTCGTCTTTTGTGTTGAACATGTCTTTTTTTTTGTGTGTGTGTTCGCGCGAAAAAGTGTGCGTGATTACATAGACACATAATGGTAATGTGATGATTAATAGACAAATAGATTGGTCGAGAAGTTATCATTTGCGAATTTGTATAGACACACTTTGGAAGCGATGACAAGAGCGAGGGAAACTTTTCCTGCACAACATTTCTCGCGATTAACATTATTGTTCACTTATCCATACGTATTTAACGTATTGACGTACGTCGTCGTAATGATTCTTCGATTTTGTGATGACGATGACTTTGTTGTTTCATCAAACTGAACAAGCTTTGAGTGTATGCGTCTTATTTTACAATTCAAATTAATGCACTACATCTTTCTGTGATATTTAAATCAAAATTCTGCGATATTTCATGTAACAGAAGAACGTAAGTTACGGATATTAATTGTTATAAAATGCGAATACATAAAAAAATATTAATAAAACAAAACTGTACTTGCATTTTATTTTTTGTTATAAAAAAGTACGTTACGGAAAAGCGAAGAATCATTAAAGATATCTTATTACGATACTAATGAAGATTATTTTACGTAGATACATGTATACCACACTCTTCAAAAAACACATTCGGTAGATCTCTCATATCTAATGAATGACACATCCGTATTAAGTTTGTTATATTTATACTTAAACAATAAATGGCCATTTTCTCGCTGAAACAATCATGGCATTAAAAATCGTATCACGATTTATCGTTTGTATATCCACATATCTCTTTGTAAAAACATGTTACATTCACATTTTATTTACGTCTCTAATAAAGTGTTAACGTATCCCTCAAGTACACACGCACGTATTTCTTAGTTTTTTTCCTAACACATTGTATTTGTCTATATTAATTACTACACTTATTACAAAGAGATATATTTGCTATAAATTGAAACCTATAAATCCACATAATAAATCAATCACATCGTCGAAACGCACATTTCTTTTTACATTAGTAGTAAAACTAAACAATAAACTCCGACTTACACAAAACTGATAGAACAGCACTAATTAAATTGGATAACGATCAATATCAGCGAAACGAGAGCACCGCTGTCGAAGGTATTGTATATACAGAGTGCTGTAAAATTCTCCGTGACAGAAACACATACATACACGCACGCACGCACGCACGCATGCACGCACGCACGCCCGAACACATACATATCTAAGCAATTGCATTCGTGCGCCGTACACCACACACGTATAAACTTTCAAAATCTATTTGGCACTCTCCTAGTTTCGTCGAAAAGGCGAGTACGCTTTGCTATTAGTTTTCAATTCAGAGACATTGCATATATGAAGTAGCTTTACTCCGTCGCTACACACACGTATAGTTTGTGTGTATGTTTGTGTGTGTGTGTGTGTTAGCATTTACGCTACATCTTATATACTCTATACACATACGATAATTGGTCTAAGAAAGTTCCCAGTTGCATAAAAAATACCAGCTGCGCTGTCCGGAACGAATCAATCGTTCGGTTATATTATATAATGTCGCGAATTTATTTAATTCTCAATACACAATTTTATAGGAGCTCTCTTAGCACTGCGCGATTTTCGCACGAGTTTGTGTACAATTCTCGTCTTTCGATTATTTTTTTTTCTCAGACAAAAATAATCAAATATGTAGATATGTATGAAGGAATTAATTTTAGAGTCTGAAAATGTTTTCTCAAATAGTTTCAACAACCTTGTTATTACTTGATTTTATGCGTGTGACTGATCGTGTAACAATATGTTGTAGTGAAAATCGTACAGTGTGAGAACAAGTATTATTATTATTATATATGTATTTATATATTACGATCAGCCCAATCATATTGATATAGCTAGACAGAGAAGAAATTGAAGATCGAATAGAAAGTTCTTATGCACTAATTTATTCCGTTTGCAGAAAAGCTTTTAGATAAGGCTTTTAAAGCTCTCAATCATCTTTTATAATTATCTTACGCATAATAAATATATATATATGTATATGTATCTTCATATAATAATAAAATATTATATATGATAATAATTATATTCTGAATAAAACAATATTTTACACTTTGTAATTTTAAATAATAAATTCAAATATCACAAAAAGCGCTTTTAATTACAGACATATAATATACGTAACAAAACCATTATTAGTTTTGTAACAAATACTAATAATGTACTTTAAATATAATACCACACGAATATTTAGTCGATTAAAATTAATTTTTCGGAATTTTATAAGTTTCTATGGACTTTAATTTTCAATTAATATTTTAAACAATATATATTCATTTATATCATTATATCTCGATTGCTCCGTAAATTATAGACTAATTATTTTTTTTTTTGGTCGTATATATCGTATATTCACGTAATGAATATACAATATCATATATGTATATATCTTTACACAAGTTGCATCGCAAAACGGATAAATAGATACAAATATTTTCATATGATGTGAATATACATATATCTAGAGATTTCGAAAAAAAAGTGCCGGAAAATATATTCCGATTATTTACGGAATAGTTATACAGGTTCATCTTCAAAATAATGCTAATTAGTCCTGTTTCTGTGAATCCTTAAGAAATCGGTCGTTTAAACAATAGTTTCATTTGACTTCGTTAAAAAAATGCTTTGTGTTACAACATTTTAGTGGAAATACCCTGCAAAGTTTTTTGTCTTATATAGATTCTTTAGAAAAATTAATTTTGTAGGATATATATTGTAGAAAAATTTATTTAGAAAAAGTAATTTTAGATATAGGATATGAGATCGCGGTGTGCTATTCTCCGAAATATAAAGAAATGATAAGTTTAATAAACAATATTACGTATTTTAAAAGAATGTTGAAAAAATTCATTAAATTTAATGTACGTGAAAAAAAAACTATTGAAAAAATATATTTTCCGTGACAAAGCATGCTCTTCTCTCTCAAATGCCCTTTTTATGTACGTAGTATATAATAGAAGATAAATATTTACGTCGAAAGCTCTATTCTAGACAGTTAATTTGCGGAGAAAAAAATTATATAGAGATAAAGCGTGCTGGATGCAGACTGTCCTTTGATTTTGCTTGTTAATGTTCTTTTATTTATTTTTAACATTGTTGCGCCACATGGATTATTATTGTATTTTATTCAATAAATTTATGACATTATTAGTAAACTTATTATCACAAGTTTCCACATCAAAGTTTCTTTATATTTTTGTTTTTGTTTTTCAAGGAAAAAAGACCTTAAAATATCTTTTCAAAGATTTTGATTTGTTCATTCGTTTGATTTAACAAAACGCATTATTTTGATTATTTTGTGTGTGAATTACACTTTTTGCCTGTATCCAGCTTTATAAATGATCGATTATAATAATATTCGAGTTTGATTAACCATTTTGATGATACGTAGTACTCGTTTTGACTCGTTTTCTAATGTACAGTGCTAAACTTTGTTTTTCAAAGGATGAGGGGCGGGGGAAAGGGGATGGGTAGGGGAACGCTAACCATCGGCGAACATTGGAAAGGACCCGCAATACGAAAGATCGGGATCTTCATCTCGTTCCAATGTCCGCCGCGCATTATATGTTGTATTTTGATTTCGGGCTGTCAGCCATTTTCGTCTCTTTGTATGTAATGTACTTTAATATAGTATACATCGCTTAATATCTTAATGATAGAAGAACAACCAAATCCCACAAAGGATTCTTCTTGTCACGTTTGCACGCGAATGAAATTGCCGGCGGTAATTCGCGCCGATGCAACTGTGTGTGTGTGTTTATGTGTGTGTGTGTGTGTATTACGTACATTTACAAATTTGCAGCTCACGTGCAAGATGACGTGCGTTACACACGCTTTGGTTTTTTTGTTTTTACGTAAATATATATACTTACATGAGGTATAGCACTTCAGGAGAACATGGCACGTTCTTTTTTTTCGTTACGGTTGGATTGCCGTTTCGATAACATCTCCTTGTTCTCGTGTTTGTCAGTATCGAACTGCACAGTATGCATATACAATATGCATGTTTTGCGTGGATGCGAATACTCCACGAGCGAGAGTCCCTCGAGAAAGATTTGCTGTAGTTTACAGTTGCACTTGTAATGTATCGTATCTGATAGAAACGCACTTTGCGAGGCTGGGGATTATCTGCGTCTCGTGAACTGATATACTCTCTTTTACATTTTCCCGCATTAAAATCAGACTTATCTCTTTCGGGGACTTTCCTCGCCGAGATGCAAAATTTACGAATGCTGATGATATGTTCATTATGCAATATATCAACACTCAAGCGACGCTTTCATTCAAAGCTCGCTGCTTGTGTGTTATACTTGTTCTTATATTATTAATATATACGGAGAATGTGTTGTTCACGTGGTCGTTTATTGTTAAGCATATAAATTTTTATCGCGTAATCGTTTTTTAGCTAAATGCGGCCGGTGAATCGGTAAATTGCGATATATATTTTTTTTCACTCAGGAGACGCCGATGATCTTGACAACATCAGCGCCAGGATCAAGATCACGGAGTCCCTTTCTTTGTGAAGTGAACTTACTTACCATAAAAACGTATATACGTGATATTTTTTCTTTCGTTCTGCTTCCCGCACAAAAGAAACACGTTGGACACTTATACATATCTTATCTACGCCACCGAATACGATCTTAGCTTATCTTGCGATTCATAATGGAAGCGTTGCGTGTATCCACAGAAGAATCATTAATATTTATAGTATACGTACTGACGGGGAAAAAAAAAACAACTGTCACTCACTGTTGTCGGTTATGTAAAAGAAATCACGTGTAATCAAATAAACATAGAAATCATATCGTGGTTGTTCATTTTTTGTGTAAATTATACATTTTTATCTTGTGTAAAAACAACTTTTATCAAAACGGAACTTCGATCGCGTGTAAGACCGATAATAATTTAATAATTACACAACACTGTCTTTTTACGTTTTATATACAGCAGGAAGCAGACGCTAATTATGTTTCATTATAATATCGACGTGACTGTCACAATTTTACGCTAATTTTCTCTTCTCTTGCATACACAATAACTCTCACGCGCGTATGTACAAATTCACGCTCACAGATTTAATCAACTTGACATCTCGTGGATTATTAATCGATTAATTGTATGTACCATGTGTGAAAATGACACACTCGGTAATAATAATAACGCAGCTATCCTCTTTTGTGTGTGACGTGCGAGCGACTATTCTGATACGAAATCAGAAAATGTACAACGATCGCTTCTGTACGCTGGAATCTTGCGAAATCTGCTGTTCGCGATTGATTTTAACGGAAATTCGAGTATCTTTTTTCGCGGAATGTGGGATGTTTGAAAAAAATATTAAATCTATTTAAAAAAGCTGGAATTAACTTTTCCTGTAAAAATGTGAAAACTGAAATTCTTTCACACACACTATTGCGGATTTGGTTATTTATTAAATAAATTTATTGAAATTATTAATAAATAATAAGAACCGCAATTATTTTTTTGCACCAATTTAATAATATTTATTTTTCGATCTTGCATATTTAAAAAGCTGCTTGTATAGAACAAAAACCATTTACTCGCAAGATAAATATTTCTAATTTTGAAGCGCGCGATAAACATATTTATTTTTTCTGTCAATTGATTTTACGATTAAGCAGCAAGTAGCAAGATTCCTGCAGGTACATTGATGATTTCACGATCTCTCTACTTGAGACTTCACAACAGACTATACATACCTATTTCCACCTTTGCTCTTCTAATGGTACCAGGATGTTTGTTGTCATGTTTTGACATTCAGCAACGCATTTCCACACACATAAAATTCAGTCCATTTTCCGTGTGTATGTGTATGTGTGTGTGTTTGTATCGCCAAAACTTTACAAAACACTTAAAAAACACTGCGTGTGTTGTGTATGAGTTATTTAACTTACCTGCAAGTAATTTCACACAATTTGCAAATATTAACACACAAATACAAGTTTTTGTTCCGAAGTTGTTTTAAACTACGCATCTTTAGATCACAGTATTTCACGGATAAACGGCCTTAAATAAGCGGCACTTTTATATATATTTTGCAAAACAATAAAAAATTAATGTTATAATTTTAAATGGTTGATTCTTTTTCGCGGCTGTCCATCCGTTCAAATTTTGTTTCGCTTATTCGTTGCCTTCCTGTTGTGTTCGACGCTGATTGAGTAAAAAGATCGCTTTTTTACACTCACTCTTAATTCTTCCTTTCTTGTCTTTGTTTTAAACAGCCGAGAAAATTTATGACTTTTTCCGGAAGAATAAACAACCGTTTGAGAGGGACATCATACCGACGTGATGTTTCTCTTAAACGTCACGCTTCACTATTAAATTTCGGCTTTTATCCGGGAAGTACTGACGCGTGATTCGTTAAAAAAAAAAAAAAAAAAAAGAGAAACGAGAATTCACGAAGATCAAAAAACAATTACAATGCAGCGATTGCTGTCCAAAGTGAAAACTCAGTCGAAGCTGAAGCGTGCGTTCTGTGGTTCACCCCCTTCACCGACGACCACGCGGAAACCCTAAGGAATTTACAGGGTCATACGTGGCGAACGGTGGAGGGGGTCGGGCCGCTATGCTTGGTCCACCTCGTGACAGACCTCCATATAGTCCGGATTGTGCATTATGTCCTTTATCATATCCTTTAGTATTGTGTAACGCGGGAACATCGGATACACCTTCGAGCTATTGTATTCCTCCTGTGATAGAAACAAAAGCAGTTTCTTGATTCAAGCATATTTCAATGATTTATAAAAATCAAATAAATATTTTGAGTAATGAATGTGAAAATGAGATTTATATTTGATTTTGAGAAAGAGGGTTTTTTTCGCGACAATTTCGAAACGTGAGTTTGCGGGAAAATCAAACGACAATAAAAAGACGTTTTTTCTTTAAAATAACGGTATCCAGGTTGTCTTTAATCTCTGATTTATTTGATACTGTACAAGCAGAGCGGACCGAGTTGGTCCGATACCCTGACGCACTGCCGACGAGAAAACTTTATAACGGCAGGGTGCGCAAGTTATTGGAACGTAAAACGAAAGAATAGCGATATTGTAACAATATCCCAATATGACAGCCGATATTATAGATCTCGCTGCAGTTGAAGTGTCATAAGTTTTTACTTCATTCTATTATAGTCGTGGAATCGATAAATATATATAACTCTCGCGCAAAATTAAAATATATTTTCGCACACAATCAATTCTCATGCAGCGAATTGTATTCCTTTTAATATAAATTCCATTTTATTATTATTCCCTTTAATGTTATTATTTTACATATTACTAAATTGCTATAAGTAGATACGAAAAATTAAACTTACTTTCAACTCTTTAATGAGATTCCTGAGACCCGTGTATTTCTTCAATAATCTGTACAAATCGTTAGTCATCTGAGTGTTCTCCGCTTCGATTTGCGCTGTTGTCATACCTATTAGAGCAACATATCGTGTTGTTTTTGTTTCATTTTATCTAAACATTATCGCGCATAAATGTTTAGATGACGTGAGACAAAATGAGATCTGTGCTAATGCGGTCATTAAAACGTGTAAAAATGAAAAATATATACACATTGGTCTTTGAGATGTAAAGAATAATAAAACTGTAAGCACATTGACGTAATTGATGTAAAAATACGCACATACATTATTTTCGCATCATGAAACACTGTTTACATTTTGTACCTACATTAATTTAATTCCTCCCGCGTTGAAAATGTTTTTCGCTTCAATTAGATGGTGGAAAATTTTTGCACGCGTATCCTCGGCGCGACACAACATATTTTCCCAGCAACTTTTTACAATTAACGACCAGGCACAAAAAAACGAACCACATTGGATGCGTACACGACTACATCAACGATAGTTCACCCAACGTATACCATCGAGAAGCATTAATTAACGCCCAGGAAAATATTGCTCTTGCCGGTAAAATGAAAAACCCGAACGGGGAATGTTGACTATTAATACGTATACGCGTTTACGTACAGCGCGCGGAAATAAAATTGAGGCGCATCATACTTGATGTATCAGTAACAAATATTTCCAAACTTTCTAACTTTTTTTGCTTCAACATTTAACGTACAAATTCCTACGTAACTAAATTCAATCCGAAAAGTTTTTATTGTACATTAAAACCGAACAAATGTTTTTAACAATAATTAAAATTTAAAAAAATCTGCTGTCAAAAATATAAGAGATCTCTCTTCTCTCTAAATCTAATAAAAATACAATAAACTACCCACAGATATAAACTACACAATAAAAAGGGAAAGAGGAAAATAAACCAAAATAAAACTAGAAAAATGAGAAAGTGTACAAGTGCGAACTCGGAAACTCTCCTTCTGGTCAATTAGACATCGGCGTTAATCGATTAGTTTCGGGCCATTTGTATCGAATGATTTCAACTGGAACTTTATAGTCTACCGTATTGCGAAACAAAGAAAGGGGAAAATGTTCTTTGATTAAGCAGGCGAGAGCGTAACGTTTTATCCCTTACTGAATATTTCTAATTACAGCCCCGGGCGCGCGCAACATCGGGCGATTCGCGTTGTTAATAAGTTCTCCTGTTTCTCCGAAATAATTTACGAAGCCGCGATAATCACGCGATTTTATTTTGTGTTGCTAAAAACAAAACACAACATCAATGTTTGCATTTAGAATTTGTTGTGTGAAAGAAATACAATGTTTAAATAAGTTTCGTTGCGTGTCGCGATAATGAAAAACATCATAAATCTTCTTACGCTTATAGAAAAAAATTATACATAAATTATTGTGCAAAGTCCATCCGTTGCATATTTATGAGAATGTAAAACCGAATATAAACTGGGAGTAAAAAGAGAGACTAATTACACACAACTTTTAATTACCGAAATAGTTAACTCTGTAAATAAAAAAATTAAAGTTTTTTCCTCTGTCTTTTTCTTTCAAGCTTACTGGCTCGACAAAAATAATTGACTGACATATATACTATATAAACTTAAAAAACTAAATCAAGAAGTAGGATTTTAAAAGTCATATACGTACGTTGGATGTACGTGCGAAATATATTTTTAATGTGCGCGGAAGATCCCCGGGATATTCCCGGATTCGACTCCTGGCAAAGATATCTTTTTTGCGATGGATTTTTTAAATTTCAGAGGCGGTTAAATGGATAATTCATGTACGCAACGCAAAGTAGCATTTTATATGAATTTTAAAATTTGTATTTAATTTAAATTTTCTATGTGTATTAATTTATACGTAATTTACAAACATAATCTCGCACGTATTCTCGTACATCCGAGCGTATATGGCTCTCAAAATCTTAATTATTTTTATTTAGTTTATATTTAATAGAGTCTTATATTTTGTTGTATTTTATTAGAAAAATTAAAAAGTTAAGGAGAAATAAGAGACATGTCCAACTCTTGTAAATAAATAAATTAATTTCCTGCTCACTGAGTCTCGTTGTTTAAAATAGTCAACGTCGCGGTTAAGAGGACGAACGGCACGGAGACAGAAGACAATCGATGTAGAACAATAGAGAATTGTTTTCTTCTTTCGCGCAAAACCTTCACAGCTATTACCTGCACTTCTAACAACGACTGTCGCGACTATCGCGCTCGGCAATACTTACTCTCAAGTCTCTCGATGCGTTCTCTTTTGGTCTCGGCTTCCTCAGCGAGACGCGCCGAAGTTTTCACACCCTCGCCGCTCTTGTGAGTCTTCTCCATGATGGAACAGGCACGTAGCACGAAGGCGGGCACTGTCTCCTGCTTTTCTTGTCTCGGTATATCCACCAGCGTCCAATACTGCGTCTCCAACTTAATTACGTCCTGGAAAGGCAAAACCCCCGTGCTCGGGCTACTGTCGTTGCAGAGAAAATCGAAACGGAAAAGAGCTTGCGTTTGTGCAAGGCGATATGTGCTCGCCGTCATTGATTCGACGGATTCTTTTTATCTATCGAATATCGTCCCGAAACGAGTGTCGCCGGGATCCGCATATTTATCAAAAGTGGTTCAAAACGCGTTCGATTTTTCTCGCGTTTACATAACGTAACGTCTTTTGTATTTTACTCGAGCGTAATATTCTAAATTAATTAAAATTGCATTTCTCTCTCTTTCTCTCTCTCTCTCTCTCTCTCTCTCATTCTCTTTCTCTCTTTTTCTACACCGGAATTAACACGAAGTTTTAATCACTGTTTCACAGTTCGCGATAAAAAAGTAGAAGCTCTTCTCAACGAGAAGTAGCGCCGTTTTTTCATTCATATCGTCTTCGCGAAAAAAATGACTGTCGTATTTTATATAGCGTCTCTTTTTTTTATCTCTCCTTCCTTCCGTCAAGTTTTTGTTAAGAAGCGCCCGCAAAAAACAATATATTCCTCGAGATTACGTGGCCATCAATGAAACAAACGTTGCTATTTGTAAGGAAGACGAGTACTTTTATTCCTTTCACCGGGAGGATTGATCCCGGGACGGTTCTTTCGCCGCGTCGACGGGAAACAAACACTCCTGATTTTCTCTCTCTCTTATTACAAGAGCGGCGTGCGCGCGTTTTTATCGCAGCAGCGGACAACGTCAACGTCCTCGTAAACGCACCCGCGGGATAGATATTCGCGTCGCGCGATTCATTCATTCGCCGTTTTCCCTTCACAGCGTTTAAAACAAAAAAGAGAGAACGAAAGAACTCAAAGATGGCGATAACGTCGCGCTCGTCTTTCGCGCGTCGACCGTGTTTGACATAATCGCGCCGCGCGCAGCTATCTCTCGCTCGCGTGCAATCTTTATTTATTGTTCGTCCGCGTAACATGCGATCCATCTCTCGGATAACAAACAACGATCGTGCGTTTTTGCGCGCACAGGTATACTTCGAAAAAGAGAAAAAAATAACAGCCGCGTTTCAAATTCCGTCGTACGTAGTTCCGCGTTTATACTGTTGCAACGCTGAATTTTACACATGCGGGCGAGCTCTAGAGTATTTTGCGCTCGTTTTTATCATCGACAAAATAATGATGTAACGTCTGTCTTCATTTTTTTCCTGTTTTCTATTCCTTTTTTAATTATCATTTTTCCTCACAAAGTCCCGCTGTCGAATCAGTCAAAAACATGAAATATTACAGAAATGACATGTAAGTGAAACGTGAAAACTGTATCTTTTTGACAATTCACATATTCTGCTAATATTATAAATTTGTGTGACAACTCGCCTTGTCAACAACAACAGCAATGTGACACTCTACTGTAGCTATCTATGCGTAGTTTTGGACACTTATCAATCACCCTTCGTTAATGAAATTCCAGGCGATGTTACAACTCTATCACGTAAAGTAACTTCATAACGGCAAGTATGACGTTTATCGAGCAAACCGCACGCTTGTGAGACAAAAAAAAAAAAGAACGCTACATCTAAATTACTACTTGAGCCATCTCTTACCTTGATCATAACCTTGAGGAGGTTGTAACGCTGGAACACGTTGCGCACTTGTTTGCTATCGGTGTACTTGCACATCAATTCGACGAGTGCTCTCTTGGCGGTGTCGTAGCTACCGTCCAGGCGTATCCTCACGACTCTCAGCCTCTCGTTCGTCTCAATCACCTCTTCCTTCGTTTGCCCACCTGCGTTCATCGCAAGAAGCCGTATTGGTGTGCTCGTGCACAAATATCCGGAAGTATACGGGCAATTTCTCTCAGTTACTCCGGACACACGGTGATACATTTTGCTCCCTCGCGCGACCGCGTGTATCGATTCTTCTTATCGTCGGGCGCGATCATCGCGCACGAAACGCGCCGTCGCCCTTGTTTAAATTGGCTGCGATATCAAACAAACGCCGACAATGACGAATCCGCGCGCGTGCCCGAAGTCACTTCCAATTAATTTCCAATTAACTCGATTACCGCGATACCTCGAAACTTTCCGACGTAAATAAATCGAGCGATGCGATAAGCAACTCCGTCGACGTGTTCCGCGTAAACTGTTGCCAGTTTCATTGGGGGAAACGGGAAAGGGGAAAGGTCGAAATTTGTAGGACAATCTCCAATCCCAGAAACAACAGTCAAGAATCCCAAACGACTCTAAACGAAGTACACGAGCAACCGTACACAATGTCTTCCGCAAATTTTTTTGTTTGTTTTATTATTTGATCAAGATCGATATGTAAAACTACATATAAAAGAGACATTTTTTACTTTTGCAACAAAAGTTCAAGTCAGTATATTGAAAGAAACATGCAACATTGGAAGTACAGCAATGTTGCAGATTGTTATCAACCGTACTCCATTACGAGAAAATCGATGTGAAATCCATTCGGGAGTTTGTCATTAGAATCGAGGTCGCGAATGGCAGAACAGCACACGTGTGTCATTATCATATATGTTAGGAATTTATCTGTGATCATGTTTCACCGGCATCGCGCGGCGGCGACGGTTGACGACAGAATTAATCATTTAGTTCCACGTTCGTTGATGGGAAAGCGTTAATTTGAATCTGACGGAATTCTCAGTTGACGGCGAAGTTTCCGTCCATTCAGCTAATACAGCTGACAGCCGACACGCCGTTACTCCCAGTTCGACCGAATACAAGAGTTTCCGCTTCGATTCCATTCATGGGACAACTAACAACCGCTCGCCGTTGGCAGACGGCCAGACACTTATTTCCGAATGAAACGTACAAACGTTTTCATCTCCGATTCACCGAAATCGTTAAATTTGAAACGGATGCTTGCTTACTCGTTATATCTTATTTACTCTCTTTTTGTTTTTGTTTTTCGAAATTCTTTTCAAGTATAAATTTAAAAAAGATGTTCACAAAAAATACTTGAAACACATAATTGTGTTAAAAAATAGTGTAAAATGTTAGTTTTATTAGGATCGTATTTTTTTTTAAACGAAATTATCGAGGGAGATCGTAAACTTCCTCAAGGATTTTATTGATGCGAGTCGTATAAAATATCTTTAAAATAAGAAAGAACAGTCCGTTGCTCTCGGCGCGCGGAGTAGTTATTGAGTAACAGGTGATTTAGGTGCAAGATAGTGGCTGAAGTTTAATTAAACCTTGGCGCGAAGATGTGATAAAATGTTCGGACTTACTCGAAGTGCCCTCGTCCTTTACGTCCTGGACGATCCTCCGGACGCTCTGCGTGAATTTGCCCACGAGATTGGTGCTGGCTGAAACACACAATGTTATATATATACATGTGTATGCATCCCAGTTACACACACTACGAATAAGAAACATCTCGCGAGTTCAGGTCGAGCACAATCGTCAATTCGTGTGACGTTATAAAATCGAATCGAAAACGGTTGCCATCGACCGGATAAAGACTGCAGAAATAACAGATGAAAGAGATGTTGATTGACCTGCGCGGGAATAACAGATGAAAGGGATGTTTGAGAAGAAGCGCAAACTCGTCACGCGCATTTGGCAAGTGGACGACTTGACAAGAAGTACCAACATTCGTTCGTTCACTCGGCCGGTATCCGCGTCCGTCCGTGTCGGATGACGTAAAGTGCGGCGGTGCGGAAGAGCGGGCTAAAGCTTCTTACTCGTAAAACACGAGATTGTTCTTAAAGCAGCCGTCGAGGCGAGCTTTTAAAGCGATCGACCTCGCGGCGAGGCTCAACAAGATCGGTCGCAGTTCGGTGGAGATGATGCCGCACCCCCGTTATTTATCTCGTAACGACGGGGCTTGGTGGCTGCAAATTTTTTTTCCTTCGTCCCGTGGCGCACGGAGTATCGCGCTTGTAAACAGCGTCGGTTTCTCTCTCGTTTGTCTATATCGAGAGACGCGAAATTTCCGCCCGTTCGTATAATGGGCAGCTTTATCACGTTTAATCCTTTCGAGCGGCCGTTTTAATGCCTCGCGAGATAAAGGACGGAGGGGCGAAGTCATATCTCTTCAAATGCGCTCCATAATTTTCAAATAAACCTCGCCTGATTAAATACCTGGACTTCTTGCGCGCTTACGCCATCGCGATTACATCCCCGCGCTGTTTAATATTAGTATTATTTCTGCTCAATTCCGCGAGACAAAGACCGAGTTAAATCCAGGCAATCGTTGAAGCGATTTACGTATGAAACTTCGTGCAAAGGTTAAACAAATATCTAAATTATTTTGATATCTTCTACTGTGAAAGAGTGAATTTGAAAAGAACGTGCGAAAGAGATCTAATCTCATAGAAAACTCGCGAAATATTTTCCATTTAAAAAGTTTCGTCACACATATATCCGCATTGCGGCTTAATAAAAGAAACGTGAGCAGCTGAGATAACGCGTTTAATGTCGGTTGGTAAGTAACGTGAGAACGTGCGCGGACCGCGTTCTTGTACGAAGTCCCGGATTGTTTCCCGCAACATTTGCCTCGCCGAGGAGAGAACAGTTTTGATTATATATTTCATCCCCGTAAGAAACCACTTTATAAGTTGGTAACGAGAGTAGAGAGACGTAAACATGATAACGTTTCCTCGTTGGTGAAGGTTTGCTCGGGGCACAAAACGCACGAAGCGCCCCGCAATCCGCTTTTACGACCTGGTAAGCCTCACCGTAACAAAGCTGAAAGTCTACATTCTCCGTATTCTTTGCTCAACGATCCCGTATACACGACGCTGCGGAAGTTTACCGCGAAGAATCCTTCATGGACCGCTAAGTCCCGCAAAAAAAACTTTATCCGCAATTTTTTCGATTAATTTATATATAATTCCTCTCTCTCTCTCTCTCTCTTTCGCAAAATCGCAATTTTTAGTTCAAAGAGAAAATACTCTCGTCTAAAATAACAATAGACCATTTTTTTTTTCAACCAATTATTTATTTTAACTCAACCATCGTGCGTTTCAACAATGATGATCGCACGAAGTGCGGATGCTCATTGTTGAAATGCGATTCTTCATCGTCGTGCAAAATGGAAAATCGAGTTTCGTAGCATCTGTTGTTGTTCATTACACAGAACTGCCCCGTTCGGTGAACTTGGCCGAGTGCCAATCTGTAAGTCACCCTGTACATCTGTATTATCTCGCCCTCTACGACGATTCGGTTAACGAGAACTGGCGTATAAAGCGTGCTTTAATAGCGACGTGCATGCCACAACGAATTGGTTATTCGGATTATAAAAGAGGGAAGTAAATTGCGTTCTTCGTTTCGCTTATTAGAATTTTTATGTAGTAATTTTACACGCGTGTTAAAACAAATTTCTGTATAAAAGAAATGTACGTATGTACATAGAGAAATGTACGTGTACAATACAGTTCAGATGAGATGGATGATAAGTAAGAAACGCAATTTGCTCCGACAGTCAATTACGCGAATGGAGAACGTTCTCATTTTCGTTTGCCTTTAAGTACGGTCGAGTTTCGGTTGAGTGAACACGATATATCCCGCGACATTATCGTTCGTCGACAAAAGGGCGTTATCTGGTCTCGTTAAGATAATATGATTTGCGCTGCCGAGAAGAAATTGGCTGGATGCCAACTCGTAAAACGTACTGTGGATTTGTGCCATCTTGCTCCCGTATAGTTCCCTCGAATTACTCAGTAATTGCATTTTGTCGACTCGCGGAAATTTAGGGGAGTAACGGGGAAAAGCATTCCTCTTCCTCCTCTGCCCCTTGGATAAAACCTCCGAGTGATTGGTTTTTTTTCCAGGAAAATAAATGTGTGTATATATACATATAGGAGAAATTATCCTTTTAAGGAAATAATCTATAACTCATTATTTACAATTCATTATTTTTTCAAACTTCCTTAAGTAGAATCAGTTCAAAATTTTACTAATTGATTCAGTGAAAACAGGATGTACCGTCTCGCACGCGTGTACATCCTACCCGAAGTAGTAAAGATACGTTTATGATCCGCCGTGTACAAGTCACTTAAATACAGACTGCGTAGTAACTCTTCCGGGAAAAGATATAAAAAGAGACATTTAAAATCACATCTCTTCCGGAAAAACACAAATTCACACACAACGGCAAAACTCTAAGTTCTTGAGTTATTAGAATTTCCGAACATGTCGCGTTTGACGTCGTTACCAGAATTCACTTCACGACTTACTGCTGTTTTTCTGCACATCACGTTTTATAAAAATTTTCCAAATCCAATATCAATATATATATCGTCGCGGTGAGTCGTGACTCTCTTTCAAGAGAACTCACGTCAAGTTACCCGTGGGTGAAATCCTCCCAAAAGTACTAAGACCCTATTCATACACGTCACATACGGCATCGCGCCGAGTCTCGAGAAGGGGTCGCATGTCGTCGGGCATTTGTACTCTGTCGCGCCTTTTCCGGTGATCGGATGGTTTCATTGGGATTCAGCGCGCGTTTCCTACGTGGCCTCTCTCGCGCACTCTCTCGATTCTCCCTAGATCTTCTCCGTGAATTGAAAGATAGATGCCCGAGAAAGAGAGAGAGTGTTACACATACATAGAAGCTGTTGAGAGCTTTTCGTTCGGCACGGGCTAGATGCCAAAACGCAACAAGCGCATTGTCGTTCGAGACCACATGGATAGAGTGGATTCGTTCTCTTCGCATCGGCACGCGCGAAGTGAATTGTTGCTGCCGATTGCTAGACGGTCAAACGTGATCGTCGCTGAACGAACCTTCGTTACCTACTCGCGAATTTACCCCGGCATCGCCAATCCACATCACAATCAAATACAATCTGAGAAAGATATTTCTCTTTTCGGAGCTCTTATATCGTTTTCGCACGATCATCGAATTCGCAGCGCGATCGTAAAAAAATTTCTTTATTTTTACTGTAATTATTTTCGTCAATTTCATTATAATTATCGCGAAGCATACTACCGGTTAAATGAGTTTTTCAAGAGATCGTCAAACTGTAACGTCCTACGTTTTGATGAACGATATAAAACCGTCGTTACTGATTTATGATCACTCAACATCACTCAAGTACATTCAACGATTATTGGAGTGTTTCCTACAGACGTCTTATTGCCGGTCGACTTTCCTTCAAAATAGCGCTTCAAATACTTATGAAGTACGATAATATCGCGTATTTAAAAGTCTAAATATTACTTCTTGCACAGAAGTATAGGTTGTCAACGTTAATAACGACGCCGCTCGTTTCCGCGCATGAAGCTCGGCAGCTTCATTCAGAAAAAAACTAACGCAGACATACATGCGACGTTCTCATCATATGTCCTCGCGCTATTAATGAGAATCGATAAACCGGATTTTTCGCTGATGAAAACCGGGCGCTCTGCGTTGCGTTCCGTTTGAACGCCCGGAACACGGACGGATGCGCGGATCACAGACGCTATCTCTCGCCGCACACAGATCAAACGTATTGACCACACCTCTGCGGCTTTTCCGATCCGCTCGTGGCCAGTGGATTGTGCGATGTTTTTTTTTTTCGCCTCGGCAACAAACGCTACTGCTAATGGGAAAGCATCACGTAATTGAATGGTCTTTGCTGCACTGAGAAACACAGACGCGAGCTTTGGTCTGCATTATTATTTGTGAATTGGATAACCTTATCACGTATAACAACAAAACTCAACGTCCGCTGTTTCGCTCGAGAATATGAAATTCGACAGCAAAACTCGCGCTTTGCAGAATGCAGAAAGAACTCGAATATTTCTATGTGAAACGGGATTATATGTACATATATATATATATATGTATATGTATACAATGTACATATATACATAATTACATTACATTCTACTGCGTAAGAAGCTTATGAGATCACACATACACACGTATGTACAAAAAAACATTTTTATCCCACTCTGTTTAAATCTTCTATTTAGCACGTATTGTATCATCAAAATAATGTGTGTGTGCAAATTGTGCCGTACTTTAAATCGTTCTATTTTGAAAATAAAAAATCAAATTTTTATTCTCAACCTTCAAGAAAGCTCCGATAGGCAAAATACATTACTTACATGTTTTACGCATATGTGAGAAATTGCAAACAGATGTGGAAAGAGAAAGAAAGAAAGAAAGAGAGAGAGAGAGAGAGAGAGAGAGAGAGACAGACAAGAGACAGGAAGGTGGAAAAGGACAAACTAGTGAAAAGCGCGATCCAGCCGATGGAAACCTTTCAGCGTAGAAAAGTTCCTGTTCGCAAAAGGCGCGCTTACTCGCGAGCGAACCGACAATCTCACTACTTCTCGTTTACGAGACGAAAAACCGCACCGCACGGCTACACTCAAC